GGTGAAATGGAACCAGGTATAGATATTAAAGCAGAGCAGGAGAAAGATCAAGATTTGAAGCCACTAACTGATTTTCTAAAAGCAAGTGTTTTGTGCCCTGCTTGGTAGAAGGTGTCTAGCTTAAGCCCTGTGAAAAAGAACTATTGGGCACAATTGGACCAGTTGAAACTTGAAGATGATAGTCTTGTCCGAAGATGGATGACCGCAGTGATGACCTGGCAAACAGTTATACTGAGAAAGTTACGGGAAGTTGTGCTGCGTCAATCCCATGATAGTTTAACAGGAGGACATCTCGGAGTTAAGAAGACATTGAGTCAACCACGACAGAGATTTTACTGGATAGGTATGAGACAAGATGTGGAAGAATGGTGCAGAACCTGCAGTACATGTTGTAATAAAAGGGGACCCAAGCATAAGGGACATGCTCCAATGAAGCTACATCAAGTTGGCACACCAAGGGAAAGAGTAGCCGTTGACATTGCTGGTCCATTACCCCAAACTCGTGCTGGAAACAGGTACATTTGTGTGGTGATGGATTATTTCACCAAGTGGCCTGAGGCATATGCAATAACAAATCAGGAAGCAACAACTGTACCTTTGGCTATTAGTGATTTCTTCTTCAGATTTGGTATGCTATACGAACTGCATTCGGATCAAGGCCGTAGCTTTGAATCAGCTGTGTTCCATGAATGCTGCAAGTTGTTTGGCATATGAAAGACCAGGACAATGCCACTTCACCAACAGTCTAATGGGATGGTAGAAAAGTACAAGTGGACACTGGGACAGGAATTGGCAAAGTTTTGTAATAGCCGCCAAGATGGCTGGGATGTCTTACTCCCTCCACTGTTGATGGCCTATAGAACAGCAGAGCATGAAGCCACTGGATACACCCCAATAAAGCTGATGTTTGGTCGGGAACTTCCGTTGCCAGTGGACATGCTAACAGGACGCACACCTTACGAAGAGTTGCCTGAAAATGTGCCAGAGTTCGTGAAAGTGTTATCTGAAAGGATAGATGAAATTCGTCATCAAGTGCATTCAAACTTGAAAACGTCTGCTGATTCCATGAAGTTATGTTATGATAAAAAGTCTACTGAAGTCAGCTTTATACCAGGAGATGAGGTGTGGTTGTATAATCCCAGGAAGACCAAAGGGAAGTTTCCTAGGTTGTCTTCTCCATGGGAAGGCCAATATGACATAGTGGATCGTCAACAGGCTTTGGCATTATCACGGTCCAGACATTTCAGTTGGAACGAACTGAACAATGGAACAAATGATGCTGCTGAAGACGTGTCACCTGAAAAAGCCACTCTACCTGAGTTTCTCTACCCAGTTTTGAGAATGGAAACAGTGAAGCCGTTAATGAAGTAACTGCCACTGATGTGACTGATAATGATAATGGAACATTTCCTGATGGAGCAGATGAACCCCACGTGAAGCAGAAGCCAATGAGACAGAGACCAGTATGGAAGAAGATACATCCCGTAAAATTAAGAGACTTTGTTGCATTTTAATTTGGTGTTTGTAAATTCTGTACGTTTCATTAAGTTATTGTTAATTATCTATTGGTTTAATGTAAGTGGCTATTGTTCAGGATGAACAATACTAAGGAAGAGGCAGCGTTACAACAGCAGAAGTCACGTGACGCTGGGAGCATGCACACAGGAGTTTCTCAGAGGGTCATGAATTTTCCTAGCAACTCTAGTTTGTTCGATGCACCCTCTTTTTTAGTAAATTAGCCTGGCAAGAAAAACCAGTGCGATTGAACAGATATGCAGATAAATAGAAGAGATAGATAATTGAGTCAAGCGAACAGTAAGCACCAT